GCCCCCCCAGTGCCCCAGCAGCTGACGCTGACATAAACCTCCTCCGCTGGGAGGAAGAAGATCAAATATATTTCAGTTTTCAGTGAAATCATGAAGTTGAAGTCGGTGTTTTGAAGGATAGACGTCTGTTACTCCAGAGTGAACCACAGTTTTAGGTTGAACCAACCTTTAATGATCTAACGACTTCTATCCATGTTCATATCAGGGACTTTGATCCAGAGCTGCAGCTTCTAATTATTTGGTAAACAACATTTTATTTTATGGAACGTCTGCCAAAACGGTGGTTTTCTCAGTAAACACGAGGGAAATAACGTTGTTGATTTACCGTGTGCAGCTCCTGGGTTTACACCAGACACAGATAATGATCCTGATCAACCTTGTCTCTGGACGGAGCCACGGTGAAGGGTTAGGATCAGGAGTCTAAGTCTAGTTTACCGCTTCACTCGTCTCTGCTGAAGAGAAATGTGCCAGAAACGCCACTTCACCACGGACGTTCTGCAGGTTTCTGTGACACAGGTGTGTGTGTGTGTGTGTGTGTGTGTGTGTGTGCTGCAGGACAAGAGGACGGTTTCCTGGAAATAAAGAGGTCCAGCTCCCACTGATCACTGTGGAGATTTGTGAAGTTGTGGGCAGCCATTGTTGTTCAGCCACACACTGCATCATCCTACTGTTGTATAACAGCCGGACTACACTGAGTCTGGAGCGGTTTTTAAGAAGGTCTCCATGGTCCAGCTCACAGAAACCATGTCATGATCTCCTTTCTGCCATCTGTGTAATAGAATTCAACAGAAACCATGTCATGATCTCCTTTCTGCACAGAATCTACATCTGTGTAATAGAATTCAAAGTCGTTTTTAAACGAGTGCTGTAAAAACCAACCTGATAATGGTGATAATTAATTTATGAATGAGTCCCACTCACATGTACATCCAATAATAATCCCAGTGACCAAAGCACCTGCAGCTTAGACTACCACCTCCACTGCTTTCTCTCCGTGGGTCTAATCAGTCTGATAACATCGTGTCTTCGTGTCTGGTAATTGCAGAGATATTTGTGACGTCACAGCACGGACCTTGGACCTCCAGCTTGAACCCCATTTTTCCATAATTCTAGCATTAGTTTTTCACAACTGTAATTTCTCTGGGTAGAAATGCTGAAGTCGTCATAAATGTCCTGCTCTTGTTCTTACATCTCACCTCAGGAGACAACGTCGTCTGCCGTCGACTCTTATCTTACTGCGTTTGGCCTCTTTTTGTTTGACCCTCACTTTTCTCTCAGACCCACCGTGGGATAATTGGCTATTCTGGTGACAACCCCGTCATTCTGCCTCGACGTCTCTCTCTCTCTCTCTCTCTCTGCCGTATCATACCACACTTTTATCCAACAGAAATAAAACCTGGGATAATTGGGACTTTGCTCATTCAATCTCTTTCCTCCTCACTCACTGAAGACTGAACCATGTGTAAAAAAGCCACGCTGGTGACTATTTGGCAGCAAATGAGGAGTTTTCGTCTCCTCCGGTGTTGGCTGATTGATTACTTTTATAATCACATAAATGAGAGTGTCTGTTTGTGGTGTCGTAGATATGATTCCCAGTCTGACCAGATGTGCAGCAGCCTGTAGTCATGAAGACCCCCCACGGCCTGGAGGCTAAAAGAATCCCAACATCATCAACCAATCTGGAGCCTCATTGGTGCGAGCCGATTACTGGCCTCAAAGTCCGTGAAGGAGAGATGGAAGCAGAAGACAAAAGCTCTCTGAAATACTAGAATTAGTGAAGAGCAAGAGCGGCGACCACGGAACCTGAGGAGACACTGACACCAAGTGGTGAGGAGCCGACGACCTCGAAGAGTTTTCCCCAGAGGTTGAGTTGGATTTAGGGTTAATGTAATTCCCGATCTTTGGGTTATTATAGTGAGCACTCCAGTGTAATTTCAGTTGATGGCACTAGATGGCGTAACATCAGTTGTACCACAAAGTCTAGGTTTAATCATGTGCATTTTATTTTTATTTTTTCACCCAGTATTCTACATCCAACCAACACTGGACACTGGACCGGCCCACTACTCACATTCTGACCTAATTTTGGCTCATGAGCCAAGTGTTTGCCCACCCCTGGTCAATATAATCACACCATGACATCTAGAGTAAAGTTCAATTGTTCTTTCCAACAGCCAATCAGATTTCTCAACCACTTGTCTGAAGTTTGAGGTGTTTAACATCAAAGTCAATGAGAGTTCCATGTCAGACAGGAAGAGAAGCTCAGTCTCAAGCTGAAGCTAACGGGCTAATGTTGTTTGGAACAAAAACGCCTCGTCGGACAATTCAGATCCGTCCGTCTGGTGTCAGTGTTGATATGTTTTCGGATCATTTACACTTGATGATCAACCGTACTTTGGGATGAGCATGATGATGCTGTATCATTTTTATGCCTCCTTAATTTTTTGGCCTTTTTCGTTTCTTTTTCACTTGGCATTAAGATTATTAAAAACCGTAAAAATTATTTAAACTTACCCTTGACGTCTTGGACAGTAATGCTACAAACTTTCCTTTGGTTTCTCCAGCGCAGACTTTAGTCGTGAGAAAGCCACGATGACTCTGTTGGCAAATCAAAAAAAAAAACTAAATGAACAAAATCCCATTTCTTCAGAAACACTGTACAAAAGGGTGTTCTTTCATAATGACCAAAATAGTTCCTCCTAGTTTGGATGGATTAGCGTGAACCCACTGTGGGTCAAACTGCTTCCACGCAGTGGCACCGGAGGCCGGGCTTTGTTGAGGTGATTTAAGGGTGTACCTGGTTCCTCTGACCTGTGTGTAGTGGGACGTGGACGCTCAGAGAGCAGAACAGCTTCTCCGTGAGACTCTGTAGAACTGGACTCTGGTCCTGTTCTTTCAGGGTCCAGGCAGCGACTGTGTGATGTGCGGCCACAGGAGCAGCACGTGTGAGTCACGTTTGTGTTAACGACGGCTGACGTCCGTCCACCGTGGCAGCAGAGCCAGACGGTAAATCAACACAGTGTGATTTTAATCTGGTCTTTAACTCTGGAGGCCGTGCCTTAGAAGACGGAACCATTCCTTCTGGAGAGTGGTCAACTGTAAATGGAGGATTTTAAATAACTCTGTCATTGTGTCTGTGATAGCTGCACTGTCAACGATCACACTGGGTCTGTTATCAGAGCGTCGGGGGTTTGAATCCCACCTTGGTGATTCCCTTACTCCCCAGGAATAGGTTGATGGGTTAATAGAAAGGACACATGTGTGTGTGTGTGTGTGTGTGTGTGTGTGTGTGAGCTCTTCTCTTATCAGCTCATCAACATGAATGCTGTTCATGACTTTTTCCCCGTCCTAAAGTGTGTAATGAAAACACTGCTGGTGAGAGACAGTGAGTAATTGCCGGCCTGGCAGTGTTATCCATTATAGCTAAGAGTGTTGGGAGGAGGAGGGGGGGGTCTCCCCCAGAATTGCTGTTCCTATTTACATTTAGACAAGGCTGTTTCTGATGTCTGAGCCATTCCCCCCTGACCAGGTTAACAGTCTTTTAATCTGTAGCTGACGGGCAAAGTCACATGACTGATAATCTGTTGGTGGAAAGAATCAGGAAGATAAAAACGCTGGAGAGGGTGTTTTTCTCTCTGGGAGTCCAAGTGTCTTTTTATTATTTTTCACCAACACCTTTAAAGGATCTCCTCCGGTGATGAATGCCATCCATCATCACGGTTTATGCACATTTGATTCACAAGGTTATTCATCGCAGGCGTCATATCTAAATTGAATTGAGCCAGAATTGATACTGAGCAGTGTTTTCTGCTGTGGTTTATCTTCCTCCACAGGTTTTGTCCCGCCTTTTCACTTCAGCGCTGAACTTTACCTTGAAAAAGACATCTTTCTTCTGTCGTGTTTGTAAAAAAAATAAGTAAACGTTTCATCTTTGCCCTAATTTAAAGACAATTATAACAATTTCTACCTTGAAACTGAAAACCAAAAGAAATTGTTTCAAAATAAAAGGTCAAATCAGTATACCATATTCACTGGACTATAAGTCGCACCAGTGCCCTCTAGTGGCTGTCAGTGTGGAAATAATGAACATGTAAATCTTCAGTAGCACGAACCAGGACGTTTTCAGGAATAGCAATACAGATTTATAGAAGGGTTGGTTCTCTTGGTACTGTCAGTGTCATGTCTTCATTTCCACAGTGGTTTTCCATCAAACCAAACCTGAGATAACAGTTGTCACATTTCCTCTAC